ATACCTACGCTAAATATAAGGTTGTTTGTTTACGATTTTGATAATACTATGTATTTCATTGAAACCATTGGTCCTCCTGTTTCATGTGAGCCAAGGAGATTAGCTCCAGATAGATTAAAGATTGCTAAGCATGAAATTCAGAAAATGATCAATTTAGGTCACATGCGACACTCCAAAAGTAATTACTCCTCTCCTCTTCACATGGTGTCAAAAAAGGGCACAAACGAATTGAGACCTGAGGGAGATTTTCGGGAGGTTAAACGCTCAAGACAGTGAAGGATAAGTATTTTATTCCCAATATTTGTGATTTTGCAGCGGAGTTACATGGAACAAAGGTATTTTCTCGATTAGATTTGGTTAAAGCATATCACCAAATTCCAATTAATCCCTCTGATATCCATAAAACGGCTATTGCCACTCCTTTTGGACTTTTTGAGAGCACAAGAATGCAATTTGGGTTATGCAAAGCAGCTGCAACCTTTCAACGCTTCACTGCTGAAGTAACTCGCGAGCTGCCAGAAGTATTTGCTTTTGTCGATGATATATTGACAGCGTCAAAAGACGAAAATGAGCATTTGATACACTTAAAAAGCCTTTTTTGGAAGATTAAGTAATTAAGGGTTAAGACTTAATGTATCTAAATGTAGTTTTACTTTGACTTCTTTGGAATTTTTAGGTTTTCCTGTATCTGAAGGGTTTAAAACCTTTACCCGAAAGGGTAGAAGCTATTCAAAAATTTCCTAAACCAAATACATTAACTCAGTTAAGGAAATTTCTTGGCATATTTAATTTTTACAGACGTTTTGTCCCAAGAGCTTCACATGTTTTAGCTTCCTTGAATAGGTTACTGGAAAGGCCGCATTAATAAAAGGAAACTTCACAACCAAGCAAAACAAAAGAATATCCTCTCGAATGGGACGACGAAGCCGAGAAAGCATTCCGAAAATGCAAAAAAGGCAATTGCTGAGGCAACCCTTTCTCAAACACCCAATTCCTGGTGCGACTTTGAAACTTTGTACTGATGCATCGGGCGTTGCGGTTGGTAGCTCATTAATGCAACTGCATAATTCAGTTTGAGAACCAATTATGTTTCTATCCGTTAAACTCAGCAAAATTCAAAGGAAATGGTCAACTTATAATAGAGAACTATTGGCAATTTATTTGTCTATTAGGAAGTTTCGGCAGATGCTTGAAGGCAGGGTCTTTACAATCTACACTGACCAAAAGCCCTTAACATATGCTTTTAAGCAGAAGCCCGAAAAGTGTTCTCCACGACAACTTCGTTATCTTGATTTTATTGGCCAATTTTCCACTGACATACGATACATTAAAGGTCGTGATAATATCGTTGTTGATGTCTTATCTAGGGTAGAAATAGATGCAGTATCTGATAATCAACACTTTGATTATAAAATGTTATCCAAAGCACAAATTCAGGACTCTGAAATTCAAAATTCCTTATCTCAATCTTCACCAGCTTTTTAAACTTGAGAAACATTACTTTTCCTTTAGAAGATGTTACTCTTTACTGTAATATGGACACAGGTATACCTCGACCGTTCATACCTGAATCTTTTCGCTCTAAAATATTTCAGAAGATTCACTGTCTTTCTCATGCTGGTATTTCAACTTCAACAAAATTAATTACTAAGCGCTATTTTTGGCCTAATATGAAGAAATTTATTAAAACTGCAGTTCAATCATGTATTTCTACAGTGCCAACGTTCTAAAATTCATAGGCATACGAAATCACCGTTGGGTACCTTTTCCTTGCCTGAATGCAAGGATTTGCAACATATCCATATTGATTTCATAGATCCTCTTCCACCGTCTGAGCTAACCGTTATTGCATGACAATTATTGACAGGTTTACCAGATGGCCAGAAGTCATACCTACTCTTGACATGTCAGCTCAGACGACTTGCAAAGTCTTAGTGCATAACTGGGTAGCAAGATTTGGCTGCCCGGTATCAATAACAACTGATCAAGGCCGATATTTTGAATTTCACTTATTTAAGGATTTAATGAAAATTTTGGGTACACATCGCATTAGAACTACTGCTTATCATCCTCAGTCCAATAGACATTGAGAGATTTCATAGGCAACTTAAAAGTTCAATAATGGCTCATAACAACCCAAAATGGACTGAAAATCTGCCTATTGTTCTGTTGGGTATTAGATCTGCCATTAAGAAAGATAAAAATGCTTCTTGCATTGAACTTGTCTACGGTACTACACTTAGATTACCGTCAGATATGCTGAATGCTACATATACTGAATCTTATGTGTCACAACTTCGATCAGTCATGCATTTAGTTAGACCTATTCCAACCTCTAGGCATATTCAATCACCAATTTATGTACATCCAGCACTTCAAACCTGTTCTCATGTATTTCTCTGTATCGATTCTGTTAAACCACCTCTAACTCCACCTTACACTGGTCCTCATACCGTGATTAAACGAATGGATAAAAATTTTATTATTGAGGTAAATAACAAAACGATTACAGTTACAATCGATCGTTTAAAACCAGCATATATGTTATCAGACTGTATAAATTCGCCTGTAATTCCTCAGTTTCCACAGGAAGTCTGCGAAGACTCAAAAATTGTTCCAAAACAAGTAGTTACCCGCAGTGGACGTCGTGCTCATTTCCCCCCCCCAAAAAAAAACTAATTACTGTAATATGATTAAAGTTTTCTCTTGTGGTTTGCTGCAAATGTTACAATGTATAAATACTTGGAATAATTTTTTCTGCATACGTATTGAGTTATATAAAATGCTTATTAACTTTTCATTATTTCTGTTTAACTAAGTTATGCATTGTATGGGTATATATTCCAATCAGAATTGTAAATGTATTATTCATATATTTGTATTTCTTTTTGTACGTACAATTTTAAAGTATAACTGTTATTTGAATGTGCATATCTTAAATTGGAAATTTATAGCCAATCCCTATTGTGTCGTGACTGTGTCACTGGGGGATACTCTGTGGCAATCTAATGTTCGACTGCGTGCGCAGCCAATCCACGTCATGTGGTTTATGCAAAAACTGCTAGCGCGGCAGTGAACTCGCTCACTTCGCCCTTAGCTGCAGCATAGGATGTCTGAATTTTAGTTTAGTGGTTTTGTTATTCGTTCTCTTATTTCAGTTGTGTTTAAAGTTATGGTGTGTGTGAATAAAAGTTAGGTTTAAGGAAATGGAGTCATGTCAATTCAAGGATACACCAAGACATAACCACCACGCCACCATAGGCCCATGCCCAGTGAGGAACTGTGAGATAAGAGGAGTTACTCCTTATTTCTAAGCCGACTTTTGTGAAGTGCAGATACAGCCTTCTTCCCGTGTTTGCTAAATCCCAGGGCGCTTGCCATTTAGACATTAGATGTTTTCACGTCATTTTTTTCAGGAAAGAAACGTGAAGTGCCATTGTCTGCTTTCTACTTGACATATTATTAGCTGCCTCTTTTGTTAACATATCTGCATGTTTGTTGCCCTGGATTCCTGTGGTGGGCAGGCACCCGGACAAGATCGCATTCTTCGACCAAGGTATCTCTTCAGTCTCTTCAGCAACATTCTCTGTACACTCTGAACTAAAGGATTTCTACTGCGAGTTCCTGCTATTGCTGCGAAGCTTGAAGCTGAATCACTATATATAATGGTGCTATATTTAGATTGTTGGAGAGTATAGCGAATGGCTGCTTGCAGAGCCGTCAATTCTGCCTGGAACGCAGAATTTTGTGCTCCTAGGCGTTTTTTCCAAATATGAGTTATATTACTCTTAACCATTACACAGTAGCTGCTTCGCGTACCGAGCTCCGTTTTCGAACTGTCTGTGTACATGGTCATATCATACTTTTCGTGCAGTGTAGTTTGATTGAACAATCTATTTAGGTCAAAGCTCGCCGGATGGCACCAATCAATTGTATTGTATTTTTCGTAGTCTGTGCGTACGTAAATTTTATCCTATAGCCTAGAGCCTAGATGATGTGTTCATTCACATGATGTGCGTTAAAGCCGCCTGTCTTTCAACTATCAGGTCTGTTGGTGGTATACCGGCTAAGACCTAAAGTGCTGCAGTCGATGTGGTTCTATAAGCTCTACAAATCATTAAAAGCTGCTGCCACTGCATAGATAGGAGACTTCGCTTCATTTGTTCCGTTAGGTTCGTGCCCCATACAGATGAGGCATATAGTAAAACTTTCTCCGCAACTGTCTTGTACCACAGTTTAAGAAGTTTTGTAGGCACTCCTCATTTCAGTGATGTTGTGCGCTTCATTGCATTTGTGAGAGTGCTTATCCTCTGTTTCAGGTCTTTGACATACGGCATCCAAGACAGCCTATTACTTATAGTCAGCCCGAGGTATTTCAGTTGCTGAACAATTTTTATTCGTATGCCTTGAAGTCTGAGGTTGGGATTTTTCTTCAGGGCGCTTTTGCGTCCAATCACCATTGCCTGTGTTTTATCAATTGAAATTGTAGGTTTGTGTTCTTTGATCCATTCACCAAAGATATTAAGACGGGCTTGTGCTCTTTTAGCAATATCATTTCTGCCTGCAACGAAAAGTAGGAAATCATCTGCGTAAGCAGTGAGCCTGGTCAGTTCATGGTTATCAAAGCAGTCAAACACTGAGTTGGCCACAAGGTTCCACAAAGTAGGACCAAGACAGGATCCTTTGAGGGCAGCCCTGTGTAATGGTCTTTGAGACTACATCTTTGTTTATATTAATTTGTACCCTCCTATCTTGAAGGTAGCTGCGGACAATGTCAGTTAATGTACTAAGACATCTTATAGACACCAAACTGTGGATCACATCTGGCCGCCACAGTGTGTCAAAAGCACCCTTTATGTCAAGGGCTATGATTATGCTGTGCATATCCTGTCTTGCGTTGTTGACTAAAGTAATTATAAGATCCTGGAGAGCGCTTAGAGACAGCTGTAAGCTATTGCCATCTAATGGTTCTACATATGTAAGCTTTTGCTAGTTTCTTATACCTCTCACACCAGTCAGTTCGCAGGAATGGCCATTTGAATAGGTAATGTAACAACTCTGTTACTTTGTCATAAAACACAGATATGAATTCATCCAGCTTTCTGTGGAATTACAATCTTAATCTGTGTCAATTTTCTTAAATGACGAGATTAATAGTTTTCTTTAAAAAGGGCAGCATAACTTGCTTCCATACTTTTATAAATATTAACCATTTGGAATCAGTTTCTTAAATCCAATAAATATTAATTAGTCCACCTTTCCCAGAACTAGTCCACAGTCTTCTATTTATTTTCTCCTTATAAAGGTTTACATCCACAGGCTACAGGGCAGGTAGAATTGTTTTCTGTTTTGAATTTCCAGATGATTTCATGATGAGCATAACACTACTGAATTTTGGAAAAGAAAGGAAGTTCCAAGCATACTCAAGGCTTTTGTCCGTAACATTAGTGCTGTTGCTTTGTCTCAATATTGAGTGACAAAATTCACAGTGAGTGACAAAACTCCCAGCTTCTCTTATCCCTCAATAAACCACCAATGATTTCTAAGAGAACATGCAGATGAATACATAAAAGGGGTAAATAATAATAATAATCTAAGCTAGGTATGAACAAAAGCAAGGCATATTGCAGTCTATCTGCAGCAAGCACTGTTTTCAGTTTGGGCAGCATATGACTTTAACACAAAAGAAAGGCATGAATCTCTGACCCTCTCTATAGAATATAGTATTTTTGCTCACAGAGGAGAAATGCGAATGCTTAGATGATACAAAGAAGATCATAAGAATATAGTGAGAATTATGTTCATTTTCCTATTGGAAAATATTTTCTCTTTCATATTTAGTCATTAGAGAATATGAAGTATACCATATTTTCTATATTTCATTAAGACCATTTTTCATTTTCAAACAGAATTTTTATCATGAATTATGACAGAACAGCTTAGGAATAGTATCTGAAGGTGACTATTTAACACATAACAAGCTTCCCGCCAACAGGAGCCAACTTTCCTTTTTACGCTTGAACCTTACTCAAAATTAATGAAAAAATTAATTCATAATTAATTAGCTAAAAATTGACAGGACACTGAAATAGAAAATACATGTTTATTTCAGGTCCAGCTATGTTACAAATTCTATACGTAATTAATATTTTGAAACTCTTTCTCCATCCGAAGTACATCTTCTGTTAGATTTTCTTCCAGTAACTTTAAATGCTTCTTATAATCTTCTAAAGCAATAAGATGTTTCTCGATGTAATTGATCTTTTCTATAAAAGACAGTACCTAAGGAGAGAATCAGAAAATTTAAATCATATGTTTTCCTAGGCAAAAAGATATTTCTTAATTTACTCTGAAATTCATTAATCAACTGTTGGGTAAAAATTTTAAAGAAAGTTAATAAAAAGGTTATTTTAACGTTAAATTACAGTTATATGTATAATTCCATTTCAAGACTGTAAATAAAAGTTCAGTTTAGTACAATAAACAAAAATGTAAAAATAAAAGAATTTTTATGAAATAAACTAAATAATTAGAATACTAATCGAAAATAACTATGAGTTTTCCATCTTTATATTTATTTATGTATGATGTATAAAGTAATTCTAATCACATACTTCTCTCAACAGCTGATATTTGCTATGTATTATTGTAGAACATGATTTGTGGATACAAACTACATTTGCGTTAAATAATTTTAAAAGAAATTTTAAATAATAATGTGTATAAAAATGAGTTAGAGATGAAATTAAAATAACAGCCAAATTTTTCTATTTGTGCTGTTAAATATACATAAGTTAAAAAAAGATATGAAGGAATATGAGTAAATTTATTATGCAAGATGGAATTATGCTACTTAACAAAAGTGCTTTTATATATATCATATACAAGACGCTGATGTAAACAACAACACACATACAAATATTCATAAAGGTTGCTTAATACATATTATTAACTTTTTCCAGCTTTTAAAGCACTTCCTTAGTTTATCAAATCAACGATCAGTTTTCTTAATAAGATGGTCTTCACAAAGCTTTTTTTTTAAACTTTATTTATTAAACAACACTATACAAGCATATAACATTTACCACTGCACTGATGCTTCTGTTTCACTACCATTTCTATTATGATGCTCATTTTCCCTGACTCTCTCCATCTTTCTCTAAGCCTGTGGTTATATTTCTGCATCAGGAGCTTGTTTAACTTGCACTGGCCTCTGTTTTTTATGGTTGTTATGTAAGGTTTACTCTATTTAATTAATGTTTATAAATTGTTATTTAATCAATAATTATTATAATTTAATTGAAAATTATTAGATAATTAATTATTATTTATTGAAATAATTAAATAATTAAAATTAAATAAAATGTAAAGAGATAAAATTAAATTTAATACGCGACTTTTAATATAATTTTATTGTAAAAAAAAATTTTCGAGAGAAAATTTCTACTGAAATTGTTATTCAATTACATAAAAGAAGCATCGCAGCATTCTTATTCAGGTCTCCGGTGCGTTCCGGCTAGAATTATGATTTATTACGAAAACTAAGAGCCGAGTAAGTACAAACTAAACTTTTTAGTACAAAAACTAAGAGCAAACTAAAGCCGAGATCCGGTGGGCTTCAGCCCAATTTAAGCCCTGATCGTAGGGGGGGGGGAGTTCTTTTATCATCACAAAAATTA